AGAAGTGAAAAATATTAAATATTTAAAACAAAAACTCGAAAGATTGTAAATCAAAAATTGAAGAAACGAAAAATTGAAAAACCGAGAGATTGAAAAATCTACAATTGAAAAATCCAAAAACTGACAAAAAAACTGATAATTGGAAAAAAACCGTAAAACCAGAAGACTGAAAAATAGAAAAATTGTAAAAATAATGAAAATAAAAATCGAAACTCGAGAAATTTTAATCGAAAAATTGCAGAATTTAAAAAATTGAAGAAAAAAGAAATGAAAGATCGAAAAATCGCAAATCGAAACATTTGAAAAATCGAGTAATTGAAATAATAAAGAAAATAAAAAACCGAAACAGAAAACTGCAAATCGAAAAATTAAAGAATCCAAAAATTGAAAATTTTCACACTGAAAAAAAATCTGAACATTGAACGCGAAAAACTGAAAATATAAAGAAAATAAAATATCGAAACCAAAAACTACAAATGGAAAAATTTAAACTGGAAAAACAAAAAATTATAAAACCGTAACGTTGGAAAATAGAAAAACTGTAAAAATAAAGAAAATAAAAACCGATACGAAAAATTGCAAATCGAAAATTTTAAAAAATGAAAAATTAAAGAATGGAAAAGTTAAAAAATTAAAAATTAAAAACTCAAGAAATTTTAATCGATAAATTGCAAAATCTAAAAATTGAAAAACTCAAAAGTTGGAAAATTGACAAAACGAACAATTTTAAACTAGAAAATTCGAAAAATTGTAAATCGAAAAATTGAAAAAATTGAAAAGGTTTTTCAATTTTTTTGTTTTGCGATTTTTCAGTTTTTCACTTTTTGGGATTTTCATTTTTTTTTATATTTTGCAATGTATCGATTAAAATTTCTCGAGTTTTTAATTTTTAATTTTTTCATTTTTCATTTTTTCAAATTTTCGATGTGCAATTTTTTGTTTCGGTTTTTTATTTTCATTATTTTTCGATTTTTCAAAGTTCTGGTTGTACGTTTTTTTTCTTTTTTCAATTTTTCGTTTTTTCAATTTTCTCGATTTGCGATTTTTCAATTTTTTGGGTCTTTATATTTTGTAATTTTTCGATTAAAATTTCTGGAGTTTTTAATTTATCAATTTTTTTCCTTAATTTTTCATTGTTTCAAATTTTTATTTTGCAATTTTTCATGTCGGTTTTATTTTCTTTATTTTTATAATTTTCCGTTTTTCAATGTTTTGGTTTTATATATAATTCTTTGCTTTTTCAATTTTTTTGATTTGCAATTTTCGAATTTTCAATTCAAATTTTTCAGTTTGTCAATTTTTCCAGTTTTAATTTTTCATTTCTTCAAATTTTTTATTTGCAGTTTTTCGTTTCGGTTTTTTATTTTCTTTATTTTTTAACTATTTCATTTTTCAATGTCTCAATTTGCGATTTTTCAATTTTTCATGTCTTGGTTTTTCAATTTTTTTAAATTTGCAATTTTTCAATTAAAATTCTCGAGTTTTGAATTTTTCAGTTTTTCGGTGTTTTATTTTTCATTTCTCCAATTTTTCGATTTGCGATTTTTTAGTTTTTCTCTTCTTGGGTTTTTTATATTTTGCTATTTTTAAATTAAAATTTCTAGAGTTTTTAATTTTTTTTCTTTTTCAATTTTTCGATTCTTAAATTTTTAATTTTTTCAAATTTTCGATTGCAGTGTGGGTTTTTTATTTTCTTTATTTTTACAATTTTTTCATTTTTTAATGTTCCGGTTTTATATTTTTTTGTTTTTTCAATTTTTCGTATTTTTAAATTTAAAATTGTCAGTTTGTCAATTTTCCAACTTTTGAGTTTTTCAATTTTTAACTTTTCATTTCTTCAAATTTTCGATTTGCAGTTTTTCGTTTCCGTTTTTTATTCTTTTATTTGTTCGATTTTTCAATTTTTCATGTCTTGGTTTTTTCAATTTTTTTAAATTTGCATTTTTCAATTAAAATTTCTCGAGTTTTGAATTTTTCAGTTTTTCGGTTTTTTATTTTTCATTTCTTCAATTTTTCGATTTACGATTTTTTAATTTTTCTCTTCTTGGGTTTTTTATATTTTGCAATTTTTTAATTAAAATTTCTGGAGTTTTCAATTTTTCTTTTTCAATTTTTCGATTCTTTAATTTTTAATTTTTCCAAATTTTCGATTTGCAGTGTAGGTCTTTTATTTTCTTTATTTTTGCAATTTTTCGATTTTTTAATGTTCCGGTTTTATATTTTTTTGGTTTTTCAATTTCAGTTTTTTCAACTTTTTTGTTTTGCAATTTTTCAGTTTTTCACTTTTTGGGATTTTCATTTTTTTTATATTTTGCAATGTATCGATTAAAATTTCTCGAATTTTTAATTTTTAATTTTTTAATTTTTCATTTGTAATTTTTCGTGTCGGTTTTTGATTTTCTTTATTTTTATAATTTTCCGTTTTTCAATGTTCTATCGCAAACCGAAACATTGAAAAATGAAATAATTAAAAAAATACAGAAAATAAACCGAAACGAAAAACTGCAAATCAAAAATTTGAATAAATGAACAATTAAAACTCGAAAAATTGAAAACTCGAAGAAGTCAATTCGAAAAATTGCAAAATCCAAAAATTGAAAAACTCAAATGTTGGAAAATTGACTAACTGAAAAATTTTAATTGAAAAATTAAAAACCCTAGAAATATTAATCGAAAAATTAAAAAATATAAAAAAAATTAAACCCAAAAAATTGAAAAATCACAAGTCGAGAACATTGAGGAAACGAAAATTGAAAAAAGAAAAAAAACGTAAAGCCAGAACTGTGAAAAATCGAAAAATTGTAAAATTAATGAAAAAAAAAGCCGAAACAACAATTGCAAATCGAAAATCTAAAGAAATGAAAAATTAAAAATCGAAAAATTGCAAAATTTAAAAAATTGAAGAAACCAAGAAATGAAAAATTGAAAAAACGCAAATCGAAAAATCGAATAACTCAAAAAATAAAAAAATAAAAAACGGAAACGAAAAACTGCAAATCAAAAATTTGAAGAAATGAAAAATTAAAATTGAAAACTCGAGAAAGTCAAATCGAAAAATTGCAAGATCTAAAAATTGAAAAACTCAAAAGTTGGAAAATTGACAAACCGAAAAATTTAAACTTGAAAATTAGGAAAATTGTAAAAAAATTTAAAAATTGAATTTGAAAAAACAAAAAATGATAAAACTGGAAGATTAAAAAATCGAAAAATTGTAAAAATAAAGAAAATAAAAAACCTACACTAAAAATTGCAAAACGAAAATTTGAAAAAATGGAAAATTAAAGAATCGAAAAACTAAAGAATTAAAAATTAAAAACACGAGAAATTTTAATCGAAAAATTGCAAAATATAAAAAAAATTAAGAAACCAAAAAAGGTAAAAGTTGAAAAATCGCAAATCGAAAATTTGAAATAAACGAAAAATTAAAGAAACGAAAAATTGAATAATTAAATCTTAAAAACCCCAGAAATTTTATTCGAAAAATTGCAAAATATATAAAAATGACAAATCGAAAAAATTGAAAAAACAAACAATTATAAAACCAGAACATTGAAAAATCGAAAAATTGTAAAAATAAAGAAAATAAAAAACCAACATGAAAAATTGCAAAACGAAAATTTGAAAAAAGGGAAATTTAAAAATTAAAGAATCGAAAAATTGAAAAAGAAAAAAATGAAAACTAGAAATTTTAATGTAAAAATATAAAAAAACCCAAGAAGAGAAAAACTAAAAAATCGCAAATCGAAGAATTGAAGAAATGAAAAATCGAAAAACTGAAAAATCACAAATCGAGAAAATTGAAGAAAAATGGCAAATCGACAAAATTGAAAAAACAATAATAAAAACGTACAACCAGAACATTGAAAAATCGAAAAATTGTAAAAATAAAGAAAATAAAAAACTGACACGAAAAATTACAAATCAAAAATTTGAAAAAAGGGAAATTTAAAAATTAAAGAATCGAAAAATTGAAAAAGAAAAAATGAAAACTCTAGAAATTTTAATCGAAAAATTGCAAATTAAAAAAAAAAAATAAGAAACCAAAAAGGGGAAAAGTTGAAAAATCGCAAATCGAAAATTTGAAATAAATGAAAAATTAAAGAAACGAAAAATTGAATAATTAAATCTTAAAAACTCCAGAAATTTTAATCTAAAAATTACAAAATAAATAAAAATGAAGAAACGAAAAAAGTCAAAAATAGAAAAATGGCAAATCGAAAAAATTGAAAAAACAATAATAAAAACGTAAAACCGGAACATTGAAAAATTGAAAAATTGTAAAAATAATGAAAATAAGAAAACCGAAATAAAAAATTGCAAATCGAGAATTTGGAGAAATGAAACTGAAAGAATCGAAAAATTGAATAAATAAAAATGAAAAACTCGAGAAATTTTAATCGAAAAATTGCAAAATTAAAAAAAAAATGAGAAATCAAAAAGGGGAAAAGTTGAAAAATCACAAATCGAAAATTTGAAATTATTGAAAAATTAAAGAAACGAAAAATTGAAGAATTAAATCTTAAAAACTCCAGAAATTTTAATCGAAAAATTGCAAAATATATAAAAATAAAACGAAAAAAGTCAAAAAAAGAAAAATGGCAAATCGAAACAATTGAAAAAACAATAATAAAAACGTAAAACCAGAACATTGAAAAATCGAAAAATTGTAAAAATAATGAAAATAAAAAAACCGAAACAAAAATTTGGAGCAATGTCGAAAAATTGAAAAATTTTAAAACTTGAAGAAACCAAAAAATGAAAAATTAAAAAATCGCAAATCGAAATATATCGAGGTTATCAGAAAACCAAAATCATAAATTTTTTTTATAATTTTTTAAAGCACCGTGATTGCTTAGGTTGCACTTCAAGGGCGGGCGAAGTTCTGTCGAACTAACTTTTGAATTTTTTTTTTTTTTCGTTTTCTTTCACTTATAGGCGAAAATCGCCAAAAAACCCGCAATCCAGCTAACCCAAACCCAAATAAACACCAATAAACTTGCCTGAAGGTGGAGGAGATTCAACGCCGCCACCGCAATACACTCCTTATCCTGCGCGATACTGTTGGTCACCACCGCCTCCAACAACTTGTCGATTAACCTACAACCAACCAAATAAAACCACCCCCTTCACTCACCAACTACTCACTTGAAAGTCTGCTCCGACAAATCAATCACGAACGGCACCGACGTCTTCGGCGTCCTGGAGTTGACGTCCGTCCACGCGAAGCTCTGCGCCGGCCCACAGCACACCCCCACCACCCGCTGTCCCCTCAAGCTCTCCACCAGGCGCGGCTGCTGCACGTACAACTCCAAGCTATCACACACCTGCTTGTTTTCGTTCTTCCCCCAGGCGTACACCTCCCCTTCTTCGGTCAAAGCCAACACGTGCCCCACCCCCAGGCTCACCGCCACCACGCGCTTATCCTGCAGAGCCTCCACCATCTCGGGGAACCGCACGTGCTCTTCGGTCGCGTGCCCCAACTTCCAGCCCTCGCCTTTGCCCCAGGTGTAGATTTTACCGTCGTCGGAGAGCGCCACGCTGAACTGAGCGCCGCAGTAGACTTGCGAGATTTTGACGGTTTGGAGCTTCTCGATCAAGCGGGGGAGTTTCGAGCCGTCGGAGCCGCCTCGGCCTAGTTTGCCTGCGACAAGTTATGGAGTACTGGGGGAGTTTGCGGGGTTTACGTACCGTAGTCGCCGTCGCCCCAACTGTACACTTTTCCCTGCGAGGTGACGCACAGGGTGTGCGCGTAGAAGGAACCGCAGGCTACCTTGACGATGTGTTCGTCGGAAAGGGCGGAGATCATGGTGGGGACGAGGCAGTCTTCGGCGGTGCCGTGGCCCAAGCGGCCGTAGTTGCCGCGGCCCCAGGTGTAGAGGGCGCCGTTGGCCGAAATGGCGGCGCTGTAGGTGCCGCCGCACTCTACGTCGACGATGTCCTTGCCCTTGAGGGCCTGGATTAGGGTGGGTTCGTCTTTGGAGGAGGTGTCTCCGTGGCCTACGTAGAGCGTTAATGTTAGATTTGTAAAGTATTATTTGGGTCCGTCAGCTTGGCAACACCTAGTGATCGAGTCTGTTGGCAATCCTGAATTTTTAGTTGAAATTGGTATCTTCATGTTTTCTATAAGTTCCGGTTGTCAGCTGTCAAGACTGACAGTTGTTGACATAATTAACGCTAAGATAAGACTGATTTTGAATAATATCAAGAGTAACCACTGGAATGAAGAGGGGGTGGATGGGCGGGGTTATTGCTTGCTTATAAAAGACTCTAAGAAAAAGTTAAACGTAGGCCCGCCCACCCACCCTGCCTTCATTTATCTAGCCAGAATCATAAATGGTCCTCATATGAACAGAAATAAAATTATTAGAAAGAGAACTCGCTAAGAAAAACTGAACAATATTAAGAGTAATCACTGGAATGAAGAAGGGGTGGGTGGGCGGGGTTACTGTTTCTTAATCTAGAAAAAAACTAAACTTAGCCCCGCCTACCTCCTCTCTTCATTTCATTGTGTTATTTTACCTAGTGTAAAATGGGAAGTGAATTCTATTTTTAATATGTGACGCCTCTAAAATTTAAAACAAAGTTGTAACTTGAAAAAAACGACGTCACAGTCTTTAATAAGAAAAAATGGAATTAAATTCAGTCCACCTGGTGGGTGGGTGGGCGAAGCAAGAACTTGTTAAGATAAGGCTGATTGTGGCAAATGAGATACCCTCTAAGAAAATAGAGGGTGGGTGGGTGTCGCTAGTATTTGTCAAGATGACACTAATTATCTTGGCAAGTATGAGACTGATTTTTGCAAATGACATATCCCCTAAAATAATAAGGGTGGGTGGGCGGGTCTAGTACTTGTCAAGATAACACTAATTTTGGCAGATGACCCACTCTTCTAAGAAAATAAAGGGTGGGTGGGCGGGGCTAGTACTTGTCAAGATGAGACTGATTTTGGCAAATAACATATCCTCTAAGAAAATAAGGGAGGGTGGGCGGGGGGCTAGTACTTGCCAAGGTAAGACTGATTTTGGCAGATGACAAATTGAAAAATCCGATAAATGAAAAATCGGAAAATTGTACAATTGTATAATCGGAAAATCAAAAACTGAAATATCGAAAAAATTGAAAAAAAAATCATAAAACCGAATTCGAAATTGCAGATTTCATTTTTTTTTAGTTTTTAGAATTTTCGACTTTTAAATATTTAAAATAATTGTAAAGTTAAAACTTGAAAAATCAAAAGATTGGAATTAAAAACTGCAAAATTGTCAAACAAATTATCAAATAAAATATTTAAAAGTTGAAAAATCTAAAAACCAAAAAAATGAAAACTGGAATTTCGAATTCGATTTTATAAGATTTGTTTTTTTTTCAATTTTTCGATATTTCATGATTTTTTGATTATACAGTTGTACAATTTTTCAATGTTCTGGTTTTATAATTGTTTGTTTTTTCAATTTTTTTGATTTGCAATTTTCGAGTTTTCAATTAAAATTTTTCAGTTTGTCAGTTTTTCGAGTTTTAATTTATCATTTCTTCACATTTTTGAGATGCAGTTTTTCGTTTCGGTTTTTTATTTTCTTTATTTTTTTAATTATTTCATTTATCAAGGTTTCGATTTGCGATTTTTCAATTTTTCATTTATTGGTTTCTTCAATTTCTTAAAATTTGCAATTTTTCGATTTTTCAATTTTTCAGTTTTTCGATTTTTCAGTTCTTCAATTCTTCGATTTGCGATTTTTTTATTTTTTTCTTCTGGGGTTTTTTATATTTTGCAATTTTTAAATTAAGATTTCTAGTTTTTAATTTTTTCTTTTTCAATTTTTCGCTTCTTTAATTTTTAATTTTTCCAAATTTTCGATTTGCAGTGTAGGTTTTTTATTTTCTTCATTTTTACAATTTTTCGATTTTTTAATATTCCGGTTTTATATTTTTTTGTTTTTTCAATTTAAATTTTTTCAATTTTTCGAATTTTCAAATTTAAAATTGTCAGTTTGTCAATTTTCTAACTTTTGAGTTTTTCAATTTTTAATTTTTCATTTCTTCAAATTTTCGATTTGCACTTTTTTATTTCGGTATTTTATTTTCATTATTTTCACAATTTTTCCATTTTTCAATGTTCTAGTTTTAACATTTTTTTCTTTTTTTAATTTCAGTTTTTTCAATTTTTCGTTTCTTCAATTTTCTCGATTTGTGGTTTTTCAATTTTTTTGAATTGCAATTTTTTTATTTTCAATTAAAATTTTTCACTTTGTCAATTTTCCAACATTCGAGTTTTTCAATTTTTAGATTTTGCAATTTTTCGACTTTTAATTTTTCATTTCTTCAAATTTTTTTATTTTATTAGAAGAATGCATCTCAAAAATTTGAAGAAATGATAAATTAAAACTCGAAAAATTGAAAACTCGAAAAATTAAAAACTCGAAAAATTGACAAACTGAAAAATTTTAATTGAAAACTCGAAAATTGCAAATGAAAAAAATTGAAAAAACAAACAATTATAAAATCAGAACATTGAAAAATTGTACAACTGTATAATCGGAAGATCAAAAACTGAAATATCGAAAAATTAAAAAAAAACAAATCTTATAAAATCGAATTCGAAATGCCAGTTTTCATTTTCTAGTTTTTAGATTTTTCAACTTTTAAATATTTCATTTGATAATTTGTTTGACAATTTTGCAGTTTTTAATTCCAATCTTTTGATTTTTCAAATTTTAACTGTACAATTTTGGAACTTTTTGATTTTTAATTTTTCAAGTTTTCAAGTTAAAATTTTTCCTTTTCACGATTTGTCATTTTTCGATTTTTTAACTAAAAGAACAAATTTATTCGAACCGAAATTTGAAAAACCGAAAAATCCAAAATTGAAAATTAGAACCAAAATTTTGCGATGTTTTAAAGTTACGGTAAACATGGCAGATTGCTGATCAAAATTGCTTTTTACTCCCTTCCAAAAAACCGGTGACAAAAAATCAAAAATTGAAAATTTAAAAAAATAAATATCCATTTTCTCGATATTTTTAAAAATCAAATAATTGAGAAATAGGAAAACTGCCAAAATTGTAGAATTAAAAAACCGAAAGTTTTTTCGGTTGCCCAGAGAAATCAAAAATCGAAAGATAGATCAAAAAATTGAAAATTTAAAAAGCGAGAAATTGAAAAATTCGAACGTTGAAAAATCGAAAAACTGATCTAGTAGTACTCGCTACGATAAGACTGATTTTGGCAAATGATCTACTCTCTAAGAAAACAAAAGGCGGGTGGGTGGGGCTAGTATTTGCCAAAATAGGACTCATTTTGGCCAATGACCTACTGTTATAAGAAAATAAAGAATAGGTCATCTGCCAAAATCAGTCTTATCTTGGCAAGTATGAGACTGACTTTGGCAGATGATATATCGCCTAAAAAAAATAAGGGTGGGTGGGCGGGGCTGGTACTTGTTAAAATAAGACTAATTTTGGCAGATGACCCATTCTTCTAAGAAAATAAAAAAATTTGAAGAAATGAAAAATTAAAAGTCGAAAAATTGCAAAATCTAAAAATTGAAAAACTCGAATGTTGGAAAATTGACAAACTGAAAAATTTTAATTGAAAATTAGGAAAATTGCAATTCAAAAAAATTGAAAAACCACAAATCGAGAAAATTGAGGAAACGAAAAATTGAAAAAACTGAAATTGAAAAAAGAAAAAAAAAGTTAAAACTAGAACATTTAAAAATGAAAAAATTGTAAAAATAATGAAAATAAAAAACCGAAATAAAAAAGTGCAAATCGAAAATTTGAAGAAATGACAAATTAAAAATTGAAAAACTCAAAAGTTGGAAAATTGGCAAACTGACAATTTTAAATTTGAAAATTCGAAAAATTGAAAAAATTTAAATTAAAAACAAAAAAATATAAAACCGGAACATTAAAAAATCGAAAAATTGTAAAAATAAAGAAAATAAAAAGCCTACACTGCAAATCGAAAATTTAGAAAAATTAAAGAATGGAAAAATTGAAAAAGAAAAAATTAAAAACTCTAGAAATCTTAATTTAAAAATTGCAAGATATAAAAAAAAACCCAGAAGAGAAAAATTCAAAAATCGAAAAATTGCAAATTTTAAGAAATTGAAGAAACCAATAAATGAAAAATTGAAAAATCGCAAATCGAAACATTGATAAATGAAATAATTAAAAAAATAAAGAAAATAAAAACCGAATCGAAAAACTGCATCTCGAAAATTTGAAGAAATGATAAATTAAAACTCGAAAAATTGAAAATTCGAAAAATTAAAAACTCGAAAAATTGACAAACTGAAAAATTTTAATTGAAAACTCGAAAATTGCAAATCAAAAAAATTGAAAAAACAAACAATTATAAAGCCAGAACATTGATAAATTGTACAACTGTATAATCGGAAAATCAAAAACTGAAATATCGAAAAATTGAAAAAAAAAAACTTATCTTATAAAATCGAATTCGAAATTCCAGTTTTAATTTTTTTTTAGTTTTTAGATTGTTCAACTTTTAAATATTTCATTTGATAATAATTTGTTTGACAATTTTGCAGTTTTTAATTCCAATCTTTTGATTTTTCAAATTTAACTGTACAATTTTGGAATTTTTTGATTTTTAATTTTTCAAGTTCTCAAGTTAAAATTTTTCCTTTTCACGATTTGTAATTTTTCGATTTTTTAACTAAAAGAACAAATTTATTCGAACCGAAATTTTGAAAAACCGAAAAACCCAAAATTGAAAATTAGAAACAAAATTTTCAGATGTTTTAAAGTTACGGTAAACATGGCAGATTGCTGCTCAAAATTGCTTTTGACTCCCTTCCAAAAATCCGGTGAGAAAAAATCAAAAATCGAAAATTTAAAAAAATAAACATCCATTTTCTCGATATTCTTAAAAATCAAATAATTGAGAAATAGGAAAACTGCCAAAATTGTAAAATAAAAAAATCGAAAGTTTTTTTCAGTTGCCCAGAGAAATCAAAAATCGAAAGATAGATAAAA